GACCAGGATGGTCTCGATCTCTTGACCTCGTGATCCACCCACCTCGGCCTCCCAAAGTGCTGGGATTACAGGCTTGAGCCACCGCGCCTGGCCTGAGACTGTGTATTTCAAGTTGATGGAGGCCCTTTGAGCTGAACACCAAATCAATCTAATTAAGGTTGATGACAATAAACTAGGGTGATGGGTAGGTCTCTGTAAAACTGACAGAGAGGGAAACTCCATATAATGGTTGGTTGTCGTTATGTGATAGGACTATGGAAAAGAATCTCAAGCTAAGGATGCTATCAAAGAGTACTTCAAATGCAAGACATTAACAAGTAAAACTTTGGCTCATATTCCTTAAAAAAAATAGTGCTGGGACAACTGGATGTCTACATGCAAAAACAAACATAACACCCTTCACCAAAATTAACTCAAAACGGATCACAGACATAATTGTAAAACACAAAACTATAAAATTCCTAAAATATAACAAAGGACAAAGTCTAGACAACTTTGGGTACTGTGATGGCTTTTAATATACAACACCAAACGCATGATCCATGAAAGAAAAGAATTGATAAGCTTGACTTCAGTAAAATTAAAATCTTCTGCTCTGCAAAAGACACCATCAAGATAGTAAGAAAAGCCGCAGAGCAGGAGACAATATTTTCAAAAGACATATAGCGAATTTTTATCTAAAATACAAAAATAATTCTTAGAATTCAACAAGAACATAAACAACCCATTTAAAAAATGGGCCACAGACTTTAACAGACACGTGACCAAAGAAGACATACATAAGGCAAATAAATATATAAAATAACACTCCACATCATATGTCACCAGGGAAAGTAAATTAAAGCAATGAGATACCACTATACACTAATTTGAATGACCAAAATCTAGAACCCTGACAATGCCAGTGCTGGCAAGGATGTGAGGAACAGGAACTCTCATTCACTGCTGGTGGGAATGCTAAATGATACAGTCCCTTTGGAAGACACTTTGGCAGTTTCTTACAAAGCTAAGCAACATCTTCCCATATGATGCAGCAATCATGCTCCTTGGCATTTACCCTAAGGAGCTGAAAACTTACGTCCACACAAAAACTTACACATGGATGTTTATGGCAGCTTTATTTCTAATTTCCAAAACTTGGAAGCAAATAAGATGTCCTTCAGTGGGTGAAAAGATAAATAAACTGTGATATATCCAGACAATGGAATATTATTCAATACTAAGAAGAAATGAGCTACTCAAGCCATGAGAAACCATAGAGGAAACTTAAATGCATACTACAAGTTAAAGAAGCCAATCTGAAAAGGTGACATCCTATATATTCCAACTATATGACATTGTGGCAAAGGTGAAACTATGGAGACAGTAAAAAGATCAGTGATTGCCAGGAGATGGGGGAAGGAAGTGAAAAATAAGCAGACCAAAGAATCTGTAAGGCAGTGAAACTACTCTGACAGTGATAACATGTCATCAGAAATTTGTCCAAACACATAAAACATACAACATCAAGAGTGAACCCTAATGTGAACTACAGCCTTTGAGTGATAATGACGTGTCAAAATACGTTTATTGATTATAACCAATGTACCACTCTGGTGGGGGATGGTGATAATGAGTTGCTGTGCATGTGTTGAAGTAGGGGGTACATGGGAAATCTCTGTACCTTCCACCCAGTTTTACCGGGAACCTAACACTGCTCTAAAAAATAAGTCTATTTTTAAAAACTATCCATAAGTAGAATTAAGGAAAAGTGTAACCTGGTGCTGAATATCTGAGTGCACATGAAAGTGAAATGCCATATACCTGAAGGAGGAAGGAGGTCTATTTTCCAATGTTCGTGAAGATGCAGGTCCGAACAGTTTTCTTTGGTCTTCCTGTGGTGTAAATGGTCTTTGGGTTCTAACTGTTCTTAATGCATTTCGTGCTTCACTTATGATTTCTGCACTGGTCTTCTGCTTAGACACTGAAGGTCGATAAAATGGATCCAGTTTTCCTAACTTTTTATCATTTGGAGACAACATCTCTCCTTTGAAAGCAAAATATTCTTCAGATCGACACCACACCCTGCAAATGTATGGTACAAAAACCCATCAATTATTTTTATCGAGTACTTTACAAAGCAATGCTTAAACCCATCCATATATAAAACCATTCTGCTATATTAAGCTTTAAAAAATCTGAATCAATTTTTAATTAAAAATCCACCAAGCAGTTAGGAGGTTAGGATCTGAGAACAGCTCTCAAAAGTGTAGAGAGGAGAATTTCCTCAAAAATATACAACGGAGGAAAAAGATGTGCAGGGAAGAAACCCAGGATGAAAGCTAAACCCAGAGAGAACAATTAATCATGAAAGAAGACAGAATAGGAAGAGAGAATCATCTCATGGTCTTCAGCCTACAAAAAACACTGAGGGTTCTGTTAAAATGCTTACAGTTTTTTTTCTTCCCCACTACCCTCCACACTAAGGTTAAATTTTAGACAGAAATGTTGTATTTCCAAAGGACACTTCATTTTGCAACAAACCTCAGAGAATGGTTCAGCCCACATTTGTCCATGATGTAATTAAATGAATTGATTCAGCTCACCTATAATTTGAGGTAGTGACCTAAGTAAATAAATACCAAACATCAATACCAGCGGATCCTTTCCCAATACCCCTTTCTGAAAGAGTGAAAGTCATTACAAGGGCCACGAGAATGCAGATCCTTCTCAAATGTTGGTGTGTCCCATGGAGACAAATCTAAACTTTAAAGTAGTACATATTTTTAAAATGGAATCCTAATGAGTACACAGCATTAGGTGTTTATTTCTTAAAAAAAAAAAAAAACTTGAACCCCATAAGATACCTCTAGAGAGACAGAGTTCTATGAATTTGTCACCTATTTCAGCTGCCCAATTTTAGAATAACTACTGCAAAAGAGAAAACCTTGTGACATATGCCCCAGGAAAGTAAAAAGGGTCAATTTCTACAAGTAGAATCAACAGGTGATTCCTTAGACAAATAAAGATTTACTACATTGTGATTCTAAACACTGTTACGTAACAACAGACAACAAGAACATTTGTTTAGTTCTACGCAGCCCACCCCAAGAGTTTCTGATGAAAACTATAAACAATACAGCATACGTCTCATAGGGAAATGCCAGGTGTTGAGCTAAAACAGTAAAAAATTACTTGATCAGCAATACTATTTTATGAATTTTTTATATAGGATTTTGAATTTAAGCAAGGTCTCTACAATAATGTTCATTAATATAACTATCAAAAATGATGGCAGGCCCAGTACATTTTATTTCTAATACTTTTGAAATAATTGGCTTTTACTTTGAAATATTCAATGATAATTATTTAAAGTATACACAAAATATTTTATAGCTGCATATATGTATATTATTTTTGGAAGCCTAATACAAATTCAGTCCCATAACATCTAACTTCAGTGGCCATGGCAGGTTTGTTGGTTTGTTTCTAAAAGACCTAGTGCAGTAAGAAATGAGGCCACTAAGTGAGAAGAGGTTTCTGTACAATAAATAGGCTTCTTCCAGAGCCTGAATCAGGTTTGCCACCCCTTTGGCCCCACATGGCACTAATAAGTCTAACAGGCCGGGCGCGGTGGTTCAAGCCTGTAATCCCAGCACTTTGGGAGGCCAAGGCGGGTGGATCACGAGGTCAAGAGATCGAGACCATCCTGGTCAACACGGTGAAACCCCGTCTCTACTAAAAATACAAAACATTAGCTGGGCATGGTGGTGCGTGCCTGTAATCCCAGCTACTCGGAGGCTGAGGCAGGAGAATTGCCTGAACCCAGGAGGCGGAGGTTGCGGTGAGCCGAGATCGCACCATTGCACTCCAGCCTGGGTAACAAGAGCAAAACTCCGTCCCAAAAAAAAAAAATAAAATAAAAAATAAGTCTAACAAAGTCCAAAAGTAATCTGGCAAGTCTAATAAAGACTAGAGAAGTTCTTTGGGGAGTAATAATGGACTCTCATTCCTGACCTAAGGTTCTCTCTGGCTACCTTTTAGTTTGTATTTAAAACTATACTCTTTCAGACAGTGATGAGTATTCACTCAGGTCAAATTCTAAGAATCCTGTGAATTACATGGGGGCATACAGGAATTTAGACTGACCAAATCCGATACTGGTAGAAACAATGTAGATACAGGGTTAAAAATATTTTTGTCTATCAATTTTTACCAAAAAGTCTAACACAACTTTCTCTATCCTTCTTCTTCTTTTTCCACCAAATCTCAATTTAACAATTATAATGTGAGAAACTTGTACAATAATGTAAAATCTGCACAATGTTATAATCATATATTAATATTAACTAAATCAATCATGGAAATCTTTAATAATACATGTGAACTGACTTGAAAGAGTTAGAAGTGGGGCTTTGGGGAAAAATTTTTAAATTGGTATTTGTTAAATTACAAATTATTATAGATGGTTTTTGCCAACTTGAAAATTAATCACTCAGGACCTGAATGCTTATCTACTTATAGTAAAGTATACCTGAACCATAAGACAATAGTCCTACAGAAAGTTTAACTTCACAAAATTTTCCTGCCAAGTAGAGCAAATCCATTCAGCGAGTTGTACTGATTAACTGTTGCCTATGTGCAAAGCCCTCTGATTAGATCTCTGGGAACCCAAGGAAGAATAAAAAACTATCTTCACTCTCAAGCAAGAAGAATCACTAATGTGAGATAAACATTTACTTTAACACCAAGCACTGTGCTAAGTGCTCTTGACTGCATTATCTCAATTAACCCCACAACAATTTTGCAAGGTGGATAGAGTCTTTTAAAAAATAATAGGCCGGGCACAGTGGCTCATGCCTGTAATCCCAGCACTTTGGGAGGCCAAGGCAGGCAGATCACGAGGTCAAGAGATCGAGACCATCCTGGCCAACATGGTTGAAACCCCATCTCTACTAAAAGTACAAAAAATTAGCCGGGCATGGTGGTATGAGCCTGTAGTCCCAGCTACTGGGGAGGCTGAGGCAGGAGGATTGCTTGAAACTGGAAAACGGAAGTTGCAGTGAGCCGGGATTGCACCACTGCACTCCAGCCTGGTGATAGAGTGAGACTCTGTCTCAAAATAAAATAAAATGATAATAATAATAATAATTCGAGATGAGGTCTCACTATGTTGTCCAGGCTGGTCTCAAACTCCTGCGATCAAGTTATCTTCCTTGGCTTCTCAAAGTGCTGGGATTATAGGTGTGAGCCACCATGCCTGGTCTGGACGGGGTCTTAAGCAATGGAAAAAAAGGGCTATGATATATGCCCACAGGTAACATTCAAACTCTTACCCACTACATGAGGTGGTAGGAGGTGAGGCACTTGGAGGTACTGGGGCTATAACTATTAACCCACTCACATAGAGACTCCAATATTTTCCCAACAGGAACAGCCTTCTTGGTGTGTAGCAGCTGAGTATTTACCCTACTTATACTCAAATGATTTAAATACAAGGAAGAAACTGATGGCAACAACAAAACATAGAGAGAATTTATGTGATCACAAAAGAAGAAAGGACTTCTGATTGGGGAAAGGCATCAGGTAGACTTCCTGGAAGAGGTGGTGCTTGAGCTAGGTTGTGAAAAAAGGGCTGAATTTGGGCAAGTGGCAGTGGCTGGCACTTGAGCTGGAGTAGAGAAGGAAGTTCCAGCAAAGTCAGTAAGTGAGCCAATGCAAAGCGCCAAGACATACAGGGAATGTGTGGACAAGAGAGAACTCTGAAAATGGAGATTGCGGTTGAACTAACTAAATTAAATGGCAAGCCGAGAAATAAAAGCTGATGAGCAAATCAAATACAGAATTTTGATCTGGCAGAGATGAGCAGGAAGGAAAGGAAGGCAAAAATCAGAAGTAGTGAAATCAGACAGTTTTTATGTCATCACCCACCTAACTCTCAAAGGTCACTTCCTCAAGGAAGCTTTCCTGGACATGCCTCTCCCACCCTGCTAGCCTCCATGGGGACCCCGGCTGGTCTCTGCCACTCTATCCTCCCTCTGTGTTAGAATTGCCTGTGCATGTGGTATTGCCCCAAGACTCTCCGCCCCAACCCTCCACGTGAGGCAAGGCTGAAGGTCAACACTTACCTAATCACTTGACTCCATTTTTAAATATAGACTTGAGCTAAGAAATTTCCAGACGAAGGCTGAATAATTTCTCTAACTGGAGATATCTGTTACAGTGAATTATGAAATCTGGACCTTATTTCAAATCTGATTCTTGATGTCATGTGGTCAGATGAGTTCAAATTTAGCCTCCTTTCTGTCTTGCCTTTATTTCAAAGTTGCCTGGCACAGAGTAGGACTCAATATTGTGATCAATGAGTGACGTATGAAAAGCCGGGGATACAGGAGTCAAGGTGAGGCCGAGGTTAGGGAGATGAGAACAAGCGAGGTGCACTGAGAACAGAATCAACAGGATTTGGCCTCTGTGATGCCAGGAAGAGGCCAGAAACAACACTGGGTATGCAAACCTAGGGGAGCCAGAGGGTAAGGAGACCTTTTAAAAGAAACAGGAAGAGAAGCAGACTTTAAGGGAAAGAAGAAAGAGGTTGAGTTCTGTCTTGCATCACACCATCCTGAGTCTGAGGTATCCACTGGACCTCTAGAGGGTGAACACCACCAGCAACAGGAAATTTCAAAGTGAAGAACTTTTTTTTTTTTTTTTTTTTTCAACGAGGTATTTCTTATTGGTCTGTGGGGAAGTTCAGAGTCATAATTTATAGAAGTTTATAACTAATTATAAAGAGCTGTCTTTACCGTTGCTGCTAACAGCCACTGGAACCAGGGCCTTCTTGCTAAATGTAACACTGGGCTACCAGGATGCCTGCAATGGGGGAAAGGCAGCCCAGCTTCAGTCTTCCCTGCAAATCAAACACTCAGCACCCTTCCATGACTTGGAATCATTTTTGTATTAATATGAGCACCCAAAGAGGCAGTGGTTAAGTGCTTAGATGCTGGAGTAAGGGTTTAAATGCTGACAATTCACAGCCATGTGACCTTGGGCAACGCCTCTAACATCTCTAAGCCTCAGTTTCCTCATCTATAAAAGGTGGATAGTAATAATTGCCTCACAGGATTATTTGGAGAATTAAACAATACATGTAAAGGACTTTAGCATGGTGCTTTAAAAGTGCTAACATTTTTTAATGTGGCCCTTAGAAATGTTAACAATCTTAACAGATGTTAACAATTACTGCCTAAGTGCTACATGATAAAAGGATACAGCAAAAATCATTTTCACGAGCATTTAAAAATAGAAATTACAAAAGAGAGAATGACATTTGTTCAGCGTTTCTATACATAAGTTCTAAAATTTAAACGGTGGGTGGTGGTGCTTGCCTTTATGAAAACAGAGAATTTTTATTAAGCATTTTATTCAGTATCAGCTATGCCAAATCAACATTAACAACTAACCAGAATCTCATAGATTAAGAAACCAGGATACAAATAATAAATGGTGCTTGCTTTTCAACCAAGTTAAAATATAATAAATATAAATCAGGGTGGGACGTAAGACCTGTTGTGTTACCTGTGGGAATGGATCTCAAAAGGCATTATGTATACACAATGATTTTAGTATGATTTTAACGTATGTTAAATATTGTTACACGTACACTTTTATTTGAGGCCCTGTTACCTGGAAGTGCCCAGATATATACACTGTATGACTCTGGCCCGGTCACCCCTGCCTAGACAAAGCCCTTTAGTCTACCACTCTCATTTAACAAGTATTACTGGGCTTTCTGTGAAGCACCACGCACTTGGCTAAGTCCGAGTGTACAGAAACAAAGAATCGCTCCGGACCGCTGACAGCATGCACAGAGCACTCAGCCTCTCTCCCCCATCCGAGGACAGACAGGCGGACGACGGCAGGAGGGGTCCCTGGTGAGCCGCGGGGACAGACACCTCACCTCCTGCACAGGCAGCGGCTCCCCTACCCACGGCACTGCCAGCTCCTCCACGGTCCCGGCCAGGGCAGAGCGCAGCAGCATACTCACCCCGCCCGGCCGCCCTCCCACTATGCCCGGCCGCCAGCGTCTCTATGGTAACCGTACACAAACTACCTCCCGCCGCCACCCCGGACGCCAGACTGCAGGGCCAGGCCGCTGCTGGGCGGGCGGAGCGAGCCGGGGAATGAGCTTGGCGAGCGGGGAGGGAAGGAGGCTTTCGTCCAGACCCAAAGCACCTGTGATGAACGCTGGAGATAGCAGCGGCTGCGAGGTTCACCTCGTCCTCCGGCTCGACAGACGCAACTGCGCAGGCAGCAGCGTTGGAGCGGGTGGGGCCGGCCCCAGGTCGCCGCTCAGCCTCTGGACCTGTGCGGGTCCCGCCAACGCATGCGTAGAAGCGCCGAGGCGTGGCGTCGGCCGGAGCGGGTGGGAGGAGCCCGGCGAGGGCCGGAGGCCGGGAGGTCAGCGAGTGCTGGTGTCGAGGGCAGTTGTCCACTTTTAGCAATTTGCCTAACCAAATTTGTTGCTCACCTGCCGGCTCCCAGCGCCTCTGTAAAATAAAAACAGGCAGGACGGAAGCTTAATGCTTGCGGGTAAGAGTAAGGATTTACTGGCTCAGGTTAGGGCTCTGTATAACCTGGAACCACTTGCTGAGCCTCTGTTTCCTCCAGTGTCAAGTGGCAGGAAATATTGATGAGATTGCATGAGAAAATAGATGTAAACCGCTATGCAGGTGGCAATCAACGAATATTAAAATATTGGCTGTTATTAAGCCCTTGCATTTGTAGAGCACTTCAGAGGTTGCCGAGTATGCCCGTAATCGGCCCTTGAGTCTGTGATAAGCAGCCTGGCGTCCCCATCCACAGGAGAGGAGCTGGGGGCCGAGGTGTAGTGAGCAGGAGAGGGAGATTCCAGTCTAGGTCCCCCGTGGCCAGTCGTTTTTTGTTCGTGCGTCACCACAGTTGAATGGCAAAAAACAATTTATGTGTTTCTAGTTTAAATTCCCTTCTCTCCTATTAGACAATTTAGCAACGCTTTACAGTGTTAAATACAAGTGAGATCATAAGCAATCTCCATTCAGGTTTGCACCACGTTTTGTAAACATGGGGATTTTCCAGCTGAAGTGATATTTGTTACCAACATTGGAAATATGCCACTTCCCTTGGTGCTAAGCATCTTGTAAAGAATAATTAAATTGAAAATATTTTTGAGCACATACTATATGTAAGGCATCGTGCCAGGTGGGAAATTATACTAACTTGAACTAAAGGAATGTAAATTCTTCAAGATAGGAGGATTTCAAACATAACAGAAAATAAATATCTATTTGTTGATTGGATAATTTTAGGACCCAAAACAAAATGTTTTGTTTTCTTCAGGATTAAAGTATTTTCCAGTGACTCAACATGATTTATACCAACAAGTTCCATTTACTGGTCAGTGGACTCCATTGTGGAAATGGACCTTTGCCCATTTTATATAAAACTATGTGTTTTGAATTCACAGCTTGTGAGATGTCATACAACGCCACTTTATTTTGGTCTCTCACTATCATTTTAAAATTTATTCAGTGTTGGTTATCTTCTGTCCCTGGATGGAAGGAAAGTTGGGGGTAAAGTCCTGGATTTTTCTGCTCATTCTTTTTTTCTTTTTTTAAGATGGAGTTTTGCTCTTATTGCCTAGGGTGGAGTGCAATGGTATAATCTCGGCTCATTGCAACCTCCACTGACCGGGTTCGAGCAGTTCTCCTGCCTCAGCTTCCAGCAGTTGGCATCACAGGCATGTGCCACCATGCCCAGCTAATTTTTAAATTTTAGTAGAGACAGGGTTTCTCCATGTCAGTCAGACTGGTCTTGAACTCCTTACCTCAGGTGATTTGCCCGCCTCGGCCTCCCAAAGTGTTGGGATTACAGGCGTGAGCCACCGCCCCCAGCCTTTTCTGCTCATTCTTAGAAAACTGACAGAGTCCCTGTCATAGCTAAATCTCAATCACAGCTTCATTTCAAAACTATAATGTTGGGTGCACGATACAAACAAATGCATCAAACTTCACATGAAAGTAAGTCTTCCTCCCCCATTCCAGCCCCAGGCTTAAGGTCTCTAGCTGGCCTTCCCTGAAGGGGTGCACTAGGCTTGCCCCACACCCGCATCCATCCTCCTTCGCTAGAGGTTGTTTAAGACCCAGCTTGGATCAAACTGGCAGTGAGAAGGAAGAAGACAGAGCACTTCTTCCTGGAGTTGAGCGGCTTCAAGCTTGCTGTGCTGGCCTATGGTTAAAGCAGCTCATGTGGGTCTTTCCTGGTCCTTTGGAGTCTCTCACTGATGGGGACCTCCATTCTGGGGCCTCCTGAAAATGCTAAAAACCCTGGGTTTATTCCAGCTTTAGGTACCCCTTTAGATAGCTCCTAAGGGAAACCCCACATATCCCTTACCCTAGTGACTCTGAGACCTCAGGCCTGTCCCGGTGCAGCCCCTTCCAGGCTCCCATAGGAGGAAGCTTTAGCTTACCCAAGAGTGAATCAGGCTCCAGTTCTCCAGGCCACCTAACTACAGGCACTGGCAGTCCCAAGCCCCTGGGGAGGCCCCTCTCGCTGGCTTGAGATGAAGGACATAGCACCCCACACTCCCTTCTCCAAAAGGTTTCCCTACACATCTTCGCTTTCCACTCTCTGACCCCTTACTTTTAGCCTTAGCCTGGGTGAAGGGTTGAGGGGGTCTTAGGTTTCTTTGTAACCTGCCCTCTGGACACTCTGCCTCACCTTCGCTTGGAACCAATGATTACATAATTACCATCTCTATGGAAACATCAGCCTAAAAACCTCTGGCCCAGCCAATTACTAACTGTGGTCTTGCACCCTAGGATCTTGGTCTAAAATAAACCATAAACAAGCTATAGGAACCTGATGCAACCCAACTCAGCTGGCCAGGAAATATCTGCTGGGCAAATAAGAACAATTGAAAAGAATGACACAGGCAGAATTAGAGGAAGCAGTTATTTGAAGCAATAAAACTCCCCAGCCTACCTCACTTAAGGACGCTATATGAAAAAATACTTAGGCTGTCACAGCAGTGGCATATTATACTGACTTGGCTGTTTCTCCACGGTTACCTGATGGCTATTTCACAGAATTTTACAGTAGGTTTTGTAAGTGGCATTGTGTTTGAAACAAAACTGTTGACATGTTTCATATACTTTAGAGAGATTAAAGAGGAAGACAAAGTATTCATTATAAGTATCTGACATTTATAAAGCACTTTATAGTTTCCAAATTGCTTTTATTTGGAGCACTTCATTTCTTTTGTCTAATTTGGAGTTTACAATAAGCTTGGAAAGTAGTTAGTTCAGGGATTATTATCTTAATTTGAGATGGGAGAAAACTGAGGTTCAGGGAGGTGAAGAGATCCACCAACAGGCACACAGCTAATAAAAGGACCTCAGATCTGGTGTTCTTGATGCCCAAGTCCAGTACGCCATGCTGCTGTTATATAGGCATCTTGTCCGCAGCATGGAAAGGTACTTTCTAGGCTACTGAGCTGTCAAGCTATGCTCTTTATTTCCTCCTCTCACTTATCCCAGAGTATTTGCTGTGTGGGGCTGTAGGGTTCAAGAGGAACTTATAAATCTTTACAGTCACTTAAAAATGCCTCCTGAATTTCTAGATTTTGAATTAAAGCAAGAATTATATAGGCAGTAGACTGGGTAATGTTAGTCTTAAGCAGTCTTAGATGCAAAAATTGTAATAGAATGTTGAACTCATAGATGCTTTTTATCCACAGACTACTAGTAGATTTTACAGCTTATAGTTTCTACTGTACACGCCTCTTATTTAATATCTACAGCTCATCCTAATTTATCTATTAGATATATTCTTGAAAAGGTACAGGTTAAATAAATACTTCTTTAATGTCCACAGTTCCCCCCCACCCGGTGATTTTTATGACTACAACTGAAATGTAACTGACAGGGGGAAAAATGTTTCTGGCATGGAATAAATATCGCCAATTTAGAATTCTAATATTCACTTCAAGACACTTTCTGTTTTTGTCAATATAGAATCTTGGTGCTTTAATTATATATATCACACAATAAATATAGCGTGAGGAGTTCATCAAATTGACAGCCTATGCAATCTTTGCATACAAATTTAAAGGCACAACTACATTAAAATGCAACTTGCTGGAAATTTACAATTCAATGAAAACTAACTTCATGGAATTGGATAGACAGACTGTGGAATTGTCCTAAAACTTACCAACTACAATATTATATGTAAATCCTGTCTTTACTGGGGCTCAGATGTGACCTGTGTACCTAAGTATTACTTTACCTTTAAGTGCATTATTCCATATCACCCCTGCCACCCCAGACCACGTTCTCCACCAAGCTGCCAAGTTGTTGACAGGAATGCTAATGAATGAAGGTCCATTTAATTACCAGTAGATTACAGAGTCTCTAAGTACCCTGCATTTCACTGGAAGGGAGGAGGTTCTAGTTTTCAGGGAGCGTGTCAGCATCAGTAGGATTGTAACTATGAATTACTTCTTCCTGAACAAGTCTTGGATGTTAAGAGAGACCAACTAAGACAATCAGAAATGCAGTATTTTTTGTCCAACTCACCTGGGAGATGTTATTAAGTGAGCATGCCTATATCTTTTGGAAGCTTTTGATTGCAAAAAAAGAATATACCAAAAGTAGCTTAAACACCAAGGACATTTATTGTTTTGTTTAACAATCACTGGAACTGGGCTGCTTCAGGATTGACCCTGCAGCTCAGGGACCAAGGAGGATCAATCAGGTCTCCCCACATGGTCACAAGATGGTGGTGGCCGCACTGAGCTGGGGAAGAAGGGCCCTCTCTATGTATATCTCTATACTGAGAAGGAAACATTTCCAAGAAGCCCCTTGGCCACCTTGTTTCTACATCTCATTGGCCAGGCTGTGTCACATGGCCACATGCCAGGCCCTGGCAGAGGTGGATGGGGCTACTGTTACTGTAACTGATTTCAGTCCATCAAGGTTCATCCCTTGGGTTTTTGGGGAGGAGCCCACTTTGAGCACTTTGCTGTGACAACCTGAACCAAGCTGGAGCTCTGTTCAGAAGGAAGGAGGGGCAGCGGCTGTTGTGGGTAGACCCTGAAGACCACCACAGTGGTCTGGTGACAGGTCTCTCCCATTGGAATGGGCAACTGTCAGAATCTCTCGATCTCTGGTAGAGAGTTGTCCTGAGAATCCAGAGATTGTGGCAGTTGCTTGTCCCAACTAGAGAGAGCTGCAGGTGTAACGCAAGGCAGCGTGCTCTATCTTGGTACTAACTCTGAGGCGAGGCCTGGGCCCTGGTCTCTCTGCTGCTCCATGCTGGCTGCACAGTGGACTCACCTGGAGAGCTTCAGC